GTTGAAAGACAGATCTTCCAATCCAACAATGCAAAAGAATACTTCCATGGGGAGCTCAATGAGTTCTTTGTCTCCCACGGATCTATTCATAGGAGCTCATGCGCCAGAACACCACAACAAAATGGTGTTGCTGAAAGAAAAAATAGACACCTCCTTGAGGTAGCTCGCGGGATGATGCTACGTATGAATGTTCCAAAAAGGTTTTGGGTGGATGCTATACTTGCGGCTGCTTATGTCATCAACCGCATGCCCTCCAAAGTGCTTAACTACATGGCCCCTCATCAGTTATTGTACCCTCAGTCTCCTTTATTTTCCATTCCCATGAGAGTCTTTGGTTGTCGTGCCTTTGTCCATGATTTATCTCCATCTCGAGGTAAGTTAGACCCTCGGTCCATTCCTTGTGTCTTTCTGGGGTATCCCTCCTCTCAAAAAGGGTATCGGTGCTTTGATCCCATTAGTCGTAAGTTTTTTGTGTCTATGGATGTGTCCTTCTTTGAGTTTGAGCCATTCTTCCCTGCTTCTCCTCAGGGGGTGAGTAGTAGTGTGGAAGAGGAGAAGCAGGTTCAGGTATCTCTTCCTTCTATTCCGGACCTTGCTCCCTTTTGTGTCTTCCAATGTACACGCCGTAGAGATCAGCAATGTGATAGAGATGTGGAGCAGCCAAACACTGAGCAATCGACACCGTTAGACTCCCAGGAGGTAAGTCCACTCCCTAACCCTACTCCTACTGTGGATGACCTTGACATTCCTATTGCTCAACGAAAGGGAGTCAGGTCATGCACTACCAAACACCCCATTACCCAATTTGTCTCCTATGATCACATTTACCCCTCATACCGTGCCTTCCTATCTGTAGTTGATTGCATCCTTGTTCCCAGAAATGTTGCAGAAGCCTTAAAATACCCTGAATGGACACATGCCATGAAGGAGGAGATTAATGCTCTTCACAAAAATCAAGCTTGGGAATTGGTGGATCTTCCAAAAGGGAAAGACCCCGTGGGGTGTAAATGGGTGTTCACGGTTAAGCACAAGGCAAACAGAACAGTTGAAAGGTACAAAGCAAAATTAGTAGCTAAAGGGTACACACAAGTATATGGGGTTGACTATGATGAGACTTTTGCTCCAGTAGCTAAGATGAACTCAATTAGGGTTCTCCTGTCCTTAGTTGCTAATTTTGACTGGGAATTGCATCAACTGGACATAAAGAATGCTTTTCTAAATGGTGATTTAGAGGAGGAAGTATACATAGTTCAACCCCTTGGATTTTTTGCCAAGGGAAGTGAAAATAAGGTGTGCAAGYTGCGAAAGTCTCTTTATGGCTTAAAGCAGTCTCCCAGAGCCTGGTTCAGTAAGTTTCACATGGCGGTTCAACAGATGGGCTTCAAACAGTGTCAGTCTGATCATACACTCTTTGTGAAGAGATGTCAGGAACAGGTTGCTGTATTGATAGTGTATGTGGATGATATCATCATTAAGGAAGTTGGAGCTCAGAGATATAAAAATTGAAACAATTCCTTGCATCTAAATTTGAAGTGAAAGATCTAGGTCCCCCGAAGTACTTCCTTGGGATTGAAGTTGCCTGCTCAGAAAAGGGTATCTTTATCTCTCAAAGGAAATACACCCTTGGTCTATTACAGGATACAAGCAAATTAGGTGCAAGGCCAGCAGATACTCCCATGGATGTTGACCACAAGTTAGGTGACTGTGTTGGTGAACCTCTGAAAGATGTGAAACAGTTCCAAAGATTAGTGGGAAAGCTGATTTATTTGTCCATGACCCGTCCAGACATTGCCTATTCCGTTGGGGTCCTAAGCCAGTTCATGCACTCTCCCAAGAAACCACACATGGAGGCAGCGGAGAGAGTTCTTAGATACTTGAAGAAATATCCTGGAATAGGTCTATTATTCAGTAAACACAATCACCTAAAGGTGGAAGTCTTTAYAGATGCTGATTGGGCAGGRGYTGTGGATGACAGAAAGTCCACAAGTGGGTATTGCACATTTGTGGGAGGAAATCTAGTGACCTGGAAGAGCAAGAAACAAAGTGTGGTAGTGAGGTCAAGC